TTTTGTTTGGTGGGTTTGGTTTGTTTTTGGATATATCCCATGTCTAAAATTAACTATCCCAGGGCTAAAATAACTATCCCAGGACTGAAATAAGTATCTCAGGGCTATAATAACCATCCAGGACTAAATTGAATCCAGAACTAAACTTTCCTTGGCCAGAAACTAGACCCTAAGGACAGGTGCCTCAGCCAGGTGAAAGTTACCTGAGTTAACCTGATAATAACTTATTGAGGGACCATTCCTTAGTTGGTTATGATGAACGCCTTTCTCTCTCTCTCTTCTCTCTCTTTCTTTTTCTTTTTTAGTCTTTCTCTATACCTATCTATCTGTATATCTGTCTGTCTGTCTGTCGTCTGTTCTGGATAAGCTCCTGTCTGTCAGTCTTTCTACTTGGGTTCTATCACAAGAGGTTCATCTAAGACACACACACACACACACACACCACACACACACACACCACACACACACACACACACACACACACACACACACACATACACACACACCCGGAAGATGATGATAGTTAGCAGGCCAGTGGTGATAGTGGTGATAACTCGCTCACTTCATCCGTCACCTCGCAATTAGGTCGGTGTGAGGCCTAACGACTAGTAATGGTAGTTAATTCATCAATAGAGGTAATTGCTCTCTACCACCTGCCTTACTAGCCACCCCATGTACTAGATTACCATTGATTATCATAATTAAATGGGTTGAGTATATAAGCGTGTCAGCATTTTGGTGACAGGTCCATATGCCTACATCTTTAAGTAACAATTATCTTCGAATTTGGGTAACTAGGAAGATAATTTTACTTAATTAATTACTAAATATTGCGAAATATTATGAAGTGCGTCTTTTCCCCTGCAAGGATGAGGAAATTGCAAGATGTTGCAATGTGTAGGTGATTGCAACACCATCTGGGATTTATACCTTTGTTGTGTTAATTATGGTAGAGGTGCAGTGGAGTGTTGGTTTGGTTTGGTGGTTTGGTGTGGTGGTTTGGTTTGGTTTGGTGGTTTTGGTTTTTGGTGGTGGTGGTGTGTTTGTGGTGGTTTTTTTTTTTTTTTTTTTTTTTTTTTTTTTTTTTTTTTTTTTTTTTTTTTTTTTTATATTTTATTTGCTGTTGTTGTTGTTGCTGTTATTTAACTAACCATAACGGGAATAAAACTTCATTTTAAAAAGATAAAATTCGTCAGGTTGAATAAAATGACACACCATTTTTTTCCCTCTGGACCAAGGAAGTGACACGCATATTACTTACCTTTACCTGGTGTCATTTATTGAATTATTTCTCACCTTATGACACAGTTGAGTCAGGTGGATATATGAAATTCGGTTTGTGACAAGTTAAAAAAGATAATTTATTCTTCTATGACGAATATAGGTAAAGAGTCTCATTGGAAAACCATTTTTGTGTTGTTGTTTTTGTATGACAGATGGAAAGTTTTGGTTCACGGGAGTATCATATGACACTTGTGGGTCATGACACTTAGAGATAGATGATGTTTATATATGACACCTTTTATTTTGTGACATTTAAGAAACATAGAGAACCACGTGAGAGTCACGTTAGAGTTATATGTGACACTTTTATGACGCATGGACTCACATAGGACATTTTTATGACACACACAAGGACTCACATATGACACTTTTATGACACAAAAGCTCAAATATGACCCTTATGACACAAAAACTCAAATATGACCCTTATGACACAAAATTCAAATATGACACTTACAAAAATCAACTCAGACTCAAATGTGACACTTTTATGACACAGAGAGATCCAAGCTGAGGTCTTCTGTGATATAGAGGCCAGAAAACCTCCCTGTCACAGCTATGGGTTTGGTCGTGTTGGGAGGTGAAGTAAGATTATGGATGGGGGAGCAATTTTGTAGAAAGCCTTTACATGGTGAGATGAGAACCCATCCACTGTATTCCTGTAGCGTCCCTTTTGCTGTAACGCTCTCTCTCTCTCTCTCTCTCTCTCTCTCTCTCTCTCTCTCTCTCTCTCTCACTCTCTCTCTCTCTCTCTCTCTCCTCTCTCTCTCTCTCTCTCATATATGCTACCGGGCAGAGGCACCTAGTCCATCCTAGTCATAAATGGGTACCTAACTTCAATCAGAATTGAGATTGAAGTGGTTGTAAATAGTAATGGAGTGCATCCTTCTGGTGTACTGGGAGGTAGTAGTCAGTGTGCTGTATCCGCAGTGCCCTGAAGGTGTGTGTGTGTGTGTGTGTGTGTGTGTGTGTGTGTGTGTGTGTGTGTGTGTGTGCTCTAAGTAGTTGTATAAATTTGATGAAAGTCGCTTCAATTTTTATCCTCGATTCACCCCTGCGCGCGCCCGGAGGTTACAATAACCACCCTAAACTCATTTTCAATTTCAGAACCAAACTCAAAGATCACAGTTTTAGAGTAGTAGGTCACCTAAACCCTAGTGCTTGCTATTCACGTTTTGTCAATCATTTTTTTTAAACAAATATCAGAACCAAAACTTTTCATGTAACTTTGTAGAAATATATAAAAGAAAACCCTCTGATATATTGTATTTTTAAAAAGCACAAACCTAAAAAAATTGTTACACAATACATCAAACGTTTTAATTTCTTTAAAACTCACTCTCCTTAAAGATCACAGTGGAAACAATGAAAAGGAAAACGTTTGTATATGTCTCTAACGTTAAGTAATGTGTATGTGTCCAGGTGTGTCCTAAAGAGCAAGATTGTTGTTGTTGTTGTTGTTGTAATTTTTTTAATTTTATGAATTATTTGTTATATGAGTTATGTCTTTGAAATAGACAGATGGTGACAGACAGACAGAGACAGACAGACGCACGGGACAAAATTGATAGACAGAAACAGACAGATATACAGACAATCAGACAGACACAATCATACAGACAGAAGCAAAAGACTCAAACAGACGTACAGACAAACAAACAGACAGACAGACAGAAAGACAGACAGAAAGACAGACAGACAGTGTACAGCATCTCATAAGGAAGAGATTTCAGGAGGAGACTTAACAACTATATAAAAGATCAATAAAAAGTTCACTTGTTATAAGTTCTTATTTCTTAAGAGCTTAATTGAGGAACTTTCTACCCGGAACTTTTTATCAATGTCTCAAATTAAAAAGTTTCTAAGCTTGATGAGAAGTTCTTGGAAAACTTTGGAAATGGGAAGTAATGAGGAGAGAGAGAGAGGGATAGAGAGAGAGAGAACTGTATCATTACTATTGATTTCCTCCTTAGGCAGTTAACTAAAACATGTGTGTGTGTGTGTAAGTGTGTGTGTGTGTGTGTGTGTGTGTGTGTGTGTGTGTGTGTGTGTGTGTGTGTGTGTGGTGTGTGTGTAAGTGTGTGTGTGTGTGTGTGGGTGTGTGTGTCGAGGCCCACACAATAACCACTGGAGGGAGGGAGGGAACTAGACTAGGGTAACAACACAATGTACCGCTCACACATCAAAGAACGCGTAACGTAAGCGATTCGTGAAAGGCGAAGCAATATCTGAAAATTTGCTTTTTTCCCCCGAGTTGCCTCTGGGATGTGAAGTTTCGAAAAGCCTTCAGTAGATAAACCAGCCGCATCCCACCTGCAGAAGGGAAGGTCGCTGAGAATATCCCTTGAGGCACCGGGAGGTAGAGGTTAAGGTAGGGTAGTTTGTGAGTGGTGAGGGCTACGTGTGTGTGGCTTCAGGCTGCCTGCTGGGAGGAACCCCGTGTTTCAGATGATAGCTTACTTTATGAATGTATTTTTTTGACATTTTTTGTTCAATCCAATTTCTCTCTCTCTCTCTCTCTCTCTCTCTCTTTGTCTCCTTGCTTACCCCCACCTCTCTCTCTCACGTCTAACTTTAGTGATAACCTTGTGTCGTCCTCTGGGGTAACTCCGCTAACTTTCTCTGACTAAATGAAATTATAAATAATTTCTCTATCACGTTCTGTCGCATCTGTTTCTCCTTTTCTCTCTTTTTCTCCCTCTTTTTCTTTCTTTTTCACCTCTAGCTCTCTTTCTCTCTCTCTCTCTATTACTTTCTCTTCCTCTCCCTCCCTCCTCTCTGTTTTTCGATAGTTTTTGTTTCACACTGAGTTTACTTATAAATATGCCTATGTATGAATGTATGTATATCGCCTCTGTTACTGCACAATACTTTTACCAATACATATACATAGAAATGCATGAGATTTTCCTACAAAGCCGAGCTCAGTCGAAACACTATTTACTGATCCAGTGAATTCATACACAAATCCTGTTGTCTGAGTCACCTGAAGACGATTATATTTTGATGAATGTAAAAATAAATATGTTGGTCTTTTTAGGTTTGGTTAGGTTTGGTAGTTAGGTTTTTACTGTATAGTGTTACGACAAATCCTCTTTTTAAAATACTATACTATAAGATTAAACTTTATAATACTAATAGATTTTTTATATTTTATTGTTTTTGCTGTTCTTGTTATTAAACTTTTTGGAATTGTCTGGAATTTCTTTTTCATTTTATAATTTGTCTTTGTTAAAAAATTAATTATTATTTTTTTTTCTCAATTGGTAAACGTTTCTTCTGAAGGAATAATAGAATGGATAGATAAAAATATAATAAAAGATAGATGGAAAAAAATATAGATGAATTGATAATATATATACAATAAACCCGTGAATAAATAACAAGAAAACACACGTAGCATTTCCTCTTTTTTTCTAACAAAAAATAAATAAAATAGTTTAAAATTCATTCCTTTCCTTTAAGACGTAAATTCCCTTAACCTTGAACAACTCCCATCATTAAAAAAAAAATATTTATTCCATCAAAATAAAGAAAGAAAGAAAGAAAGAAAGAAAGTAAGAAAGAAAGAAAGAAAGAAAGAAAAAGCCCTAAACCTAAACTAGATTCTTTCATCCCTTCAAAAAAAAATCCTTAACTACCTACATAGAATTCTCTCATACTTAAAAATAATAAAAAACTCAAACGTGTTCTCTTCCTCTGGGTCGTGTACACAGATGTAAGGAGTGAGTCAGCCCCTCGTATACCAGAGATGGAGACACTAGTACGGGTACAACGAGGCACCACCGCCACCCTCCTGTGTCCTGCCAGGGCCACCCAACACCTTCCATCACGTAAGTACTGTGTGACGGCCCCTACCTGTGTGAGAGATAAACAAAGATAGTAAAGATAAGGAGAAAAAATATACGTAAGTTTATTTACGTATTATTATTATTATTATTATTATTATTATTATTATTATTATTATTATTATTATTATTATTATTATTATTATTATTATTATTATTATTATTATTATTATTATTATTATTATTATATATATATATATATATATATATATATATATATATTATTATTATTATTATTATTATTATTATTATTATTATTATTATATTATTATTATTATGTTATTATATTATTATTATTATTATTATTATTATTATTTTATTATTATTATTATTATTTATTATTATTATTATTATTATGACAAAAGTAAACAACCTCTCAATGTCCTCAGGTGGTATAAACAAGGTATCAGTGTGGACATCCTTAAGGCGTCATGGGCGGGGGGTGGGCGCAAGCATCCACAGCGAGGGTGTCCGGCCCTGTCTTAACCTTGCTGGCTACTGAAGATATCGACGCCGGCACCTACCGCTGTTATGCCAACAATACAGAAGGAGTGTCTGTACTGCAGGTGTGTGTGTGTGTGTCGTATTATAGGTATAAGTCTCTGTGAATCCATAAACTAACTTAAACTAATCTAACTTAATCTAACCTACTTTAACCTAACATAACATAACCTTACCTAACTTAACCTTGACCTAATCGTAAGCTAACTTAACCTAACTTAAATTAACCTAACATAACCTTAACCTAACCAAACCTAACTCCTCAATACACCATAACAACAACTCCTTCTACAGACAGTTCTCCTCCTCCTCCCGGATACCTTCAGAAACTCTTGTCCCTCTCCTCTGTAAGTCACTTCCTCTTGGTGTCCTTCTGAAGAAACCAGTTATCATTCTCTCTCTCTCTCTCTCTCTCTTTATCTCTGCTCTTGTCTCCGTGTGTATTAGGGAAGTACTGTCTGCCCTCTCCGTACGCGTGACTCCTCCTTCAGTAGTGGTTGACGCTAGAGCTACGGCACATTTCTCACCTGTGTCATCTGTAAGGAGACGGGCCAGGTGATAAGATTACCCTCCCTTACACCCCTTCCCCTATACCCTCATCTTACCCCTTCCCACCTCTGCTACCCCTCACCCTCCTTTCCCCTTGTTCTCATTCCCTTACTGCCTTACTTCCCTTACCCCTAGAGGTGAAGCTATTTTGGGAAGAGCTTACGTTAGCGAGTAATTTAGCCAGAAAATTGTTCGTAGAGTGAGGGGTGGTAGTGGGGCGGTGTAGAGGGCTGAGAGGGCTGAGAGGACTGGGTGTAGAGGGCTGAGAGGACTGTGTGAGGGTGATGGGGGGCTGAGGGGACTGGGTGTAGAGAGTGATGGGGCTGAGGACTGATGAGGTGATGGGGGGGAGGCTGTGGATGGTGGGAGGCTGAGGAGGTTGGGTGGGTGTGAGGGCTGAGAGGACTGGTGTAGAGAGTGGTGGGGGCTGAGGACTGGTGTGAGAGGATGGAGGGCTGAGAGACTGGTGTAGAGAGTGATGGAGGGCTGAGAGGACTGGGTGAGAGTGGTGGAGGCTGGAGGTGGTGTAGGTGGTGTAGAGAGTGATGGGGGGCTGAGAGGACTGGTGTGAGAGTGGTGGAGGGCTGAGAGGACTGGGTGTAGAGTGATGGAGGGCTGAGAGGACTGTGTAGAGAGGGTGGAGGGGCTGAGAGGACTGTGAGAGTGGTGGAGGGCTGAGAGGACTGGTGTAGAGAGTGATGGAGGCTGAGAGGACTGGTGTAGAGAGGGTGGAGGGCTGAGAGGGACTGGTGTAGAGAGGATGGAGGCTGAGAGGACTGGTGTAGAGGAAGGGAGGCTGAGAGGACTGGTGTAGAGAGGAGGAGGGCTGAGAGGACTGGTGTAGAGAGTGGGAGTGGGCTGAGAGGACTGGTGTAGAGAGGATGGGAGGGCTGAGAGGACTGGTGAGAGAGTGATGAGGCTTGAGAGGACTGGTGTAGAGAGTGATGGAGGGCTGAGAGGACTGGTGTAGAGAGTGATGGAGGGCTGAGAGGACTGGTGTGAGAGGATGGAGGGCTGAGAGGACTGGTGTAGAGAGTGATGGAGGGCTGAGAAGATGTGTAGAGAGGTGGAGGCTGAGAGGACTGTGTGAGGAGTGGTGGGAGGTGAGAGGACTGTGTAGAGAGTGGTGGAGGGCTGAGAGGACTGTGAGTGATGGAGGGCTGAGAGGACTGGTGAGAGTGTGGAGGGGCTGAGAGGACTGGGTGAGAGGATGGAGGGCTGAGAGGACTGGTGTAGAGAGTGGTGGAGGCTGAGAGGACTGGTGTAGAGAGGGTGGGAGGCTGAGAGGACTGGTGTAGAAAGTGATGGAGGGCTGAGGGGACTGTGAGAGTGATGTGGGAGGGCTGAGAGGACTGGTGTGAGAGTGATGGAGGGCTGAGAGGACTGGGTGAGAGTGATGGAGGCAGAGGAGAGTGATGGAGGCTGAGAGGACTGGTGAGAGTAGTGGCTGAGAGGACTGTGGAGAGTGATGGGGGGCTGAGAGGACCTCACTCTCCTCCTTCCTCCTCCCTGACTCCACCTCCTCCCTCCTCCCTGACTCACTCTCTCCCTCCCTCCTGACTCACTCTCCTCCCTCCTCCTGCTCACCCTCCTCCCTCCCTCCCTGCCTCACCCTCCTCCCTCCCTCCCTGACTCACTCTCCTCCCTCCCTCCCTGCCTCACCCTCCTCCCTCCCTCCCCTGCTCCACCCTCCTCCCTCCCTCTCTGCCTCACCTCCTCCTGCTCCCCCTCCCCTCCCTCCTCCTCCTCCCTCCTCCTCCTCCTCCCTCCTCTCCTCCTCCTCCTCCCTCCTGCTCACTCTCCTCCCCTCCTGCTCCCCCTCCTCTCCCGCCTCACTCTCCTCCTCTCCCTGCCTCACTCCTCCCTCCTCCCTGACTCACCCTCCTCCCTCCCTCCCTGCCTCACCTTCCTCCCTCCTCCCTCCCTGACTCCACCTCCTCCCTCCTCCCTGCCTCACCCTCCTCCCCCTCCCTCCCTGACTCACCTCCTCCTCCTCTCTCCCTCCCTCTCCCTGCCTCACCCTCCTCCCCTCTCCCTCCCCTCCCTGCCTCACCCTCCTCCCTCCCTCCCTGCCTCACTCTCCTCCCTCCCTCCTCCTCCCCTCTTCCTCCCTCTCCCTCCCTGCCTCACCCTCCTCCCTCCCTCCCTGCCTCCACTCTTCCTCCCTCCTCCCTGCCTCCCACCTCCTCCCTCCCTCCTCCTTCCTACCTCCTCCCTCCCTCCCTGCCTCACCCTCCTCCCTCCTCCCTGCCTCCACCCTCCTCCCTCCTCCCTGCCTCACCTCTCCTCCCTCCCTCCCTGACTCACTCCTCCTCCCTCCTCCCTGCCTCACTCCTCCTCCTCCCCCTCCCTGACTCACTCTCCTCCCTCCCTCCCTGCCTCACCCTCCTCCCTCCCTCCCACCCACTCTCCTCCCTCCTCCCTCCTACCCCTCTCCTCCCTCTCCCTCCTCCCTGCTCCCCACCCTCCTCCTTTCCCTCCTCCCTGACTCACCCTCCTCCTCCCTCCCTCCCTGCCTCACCCTCCTCCTCCCTCCCTGCCTCACTCTCCCTCCCTCCCTCCTGCCTCACCCTCCTCTCCTCCCTGACTCACTCTCCTCCCTCCCTCCCTGCCTTACCCTCCTCCCTCCCTCCCTGCCTCACCCTCCTCCTTCCCTCCCTTGACTCACCTTCCTCCCTCCCTCCCTCCCTGCCTACCTCCTCCCTCCCTCCCTCCTCCCTCACCTCCCTCCTCCTCCTCCCTGACTCCCTCCTCCCTCCCTCCCTGACTCCACCCTCCTCCTCCCTCCCTCCCTACTCACTCTCCTCCCTCCCTCCCTGACTCACCCTCCTCCCTCCCTCCTCCCTGCTCACCTTCCTCCTCCTCCCTCCTGCCTTCACCCTCCTCCCTCCCTCCCCTGCCTCCCACTCTCCTCCCTCCTCCTCCTGCCTCACCCTCCTCCCTCCCTCCCCTGACTCACCCTCCTCCTCTCCCTCCCTGCCTCTCACCCTCCTCCCTCCCCTCCCTGACTCACCCTCCTCCCTCCCTCCCCTCCCCTGACTCCACCTCCTCCCTCCCTCCCTCCCTGCCTCACCCTCCTCCCTCCCTCCCTGCCTCCTCTCCTCCCTCCCTCCCTGCCTCACCCTCCTCCCTTCTCCTCCTGACTCCCACTCTCCTCCTCCTCCTCCCTGCCTCACTCCCTCTCCCTCCCCTGCTCTCACTCCTCTCCCTCCCTCCTGCCTCACCTCCCTCTCCCTCCTCCCTGACTCCTCCCTCCTCCCTCCTCCCTCCTCCTCCTCCCTCCTCCTCTCCCTGACTCCACCCTCTCCTCCTTCCCTCCGCTCCCTCCTCCCTCCTCCCTCCCTTCCCCACCCTCTCTCCTCCCTCCTCCTGCCTCCCCTCCTCCCTTCCCTCCCTGACTTACTTCCTCCTCCTCCTCCCTGCCTCACCCTCCTCCCCTCCCTCCCTGCTCACCCTCCTCCTTCCCTCCCTGACTCCACCCTCCTCCCTCCCTCCCCTCCTCTGCCTCACTCCTCCTCCCTCCCTCCCTGCTCACCCTCCTCCCTCCCCTCCCTGACTCACTCCTCCTCCTTCCTCCCCTGCTCACCCCTCCTCCCTCCCTCCCTCCCTGCCTCACCCTCCCTCCCTCCCTGCCTCACCCTCCTCCCTCCCTCCCTTGCTCACCTCCTCCCTCCTCCCTGCCTCACCTCCTCCCTCCCTCTCCCTCCTGACTCACTCTCCTCCCTCCCTCCTGATCACCCTCCTCCCTCCCCTCCCTCCCAGCTCACCCTCCTCCCTCCCTCCCCTCCCTTGCCTCACTCCTCCTCTCCTCCCTGCCTCCCTGCTCTCCTCCCTCCCTGCCTCCTCACCTCCTCCTCCCTCCCTCCTGACTCCACCCTCCTCCCTCCTCCCCTGCCTCCTCCCACCCTCCCTCCCTCCCTCCCTGACTCACTCCTCCTCCTCCCTCCCTCCTCTCCCCTCCCTCCCTCCTCCCTGCCTCACCCTCCTCCCTCCCTCCCTGCCTCACTCTCCTCCCTCCCTCCCCTGCCTCCCTCCTCCCTCTCCCTCTCTCCTGACTCACTCTCCTCCCTCCCTCCCTGCCTCACTCTCCTCCTCCCTCCCTCCCTGCCTCCTACCTCCTCCTCCCTCCCTGCCTCACCCTCCTCCCTCCTCTCCTCCCTCCCTCCTGACTCCCCTCCTCCTCCCTCCTGCCTCACCCTCCTCCCCTCCCTCCCTGACTCACCTCCTCCCTCCCTCCCTGCTCCCCTCCTCCCTCCTCCCTCCCTGACTCCTCTCCTCCCTCTCCCTTCCCTGCCTCACCTCCTCCCTCTCCCTCCCTGACTCTACTCTCCTCCCTCCTCCCTGCCTCACCCTCCTCCTCCTCCTCCCTCCCTGCCTCACCCTCCTCCTTCCCTCCCTGACTCCCTCCTCCTCCCTCCCTCCTCCCTGCCTCACCCTCCTCCCTCCCTCCCTGCCTCACCCTCCTCCCTCCCTCCTCCTGCTCACCTCCTCTTCCCTCCCCCTGACTCCACCCCTCCTCCTCCCTCCCTCCCTGCTCCACCTCCTCCCTCCCTCCTGCCTCCCTCCTCCTCTCCCTCCCTGCCTCACCCTCCTCCTCCTCTCATCCTCCTCCCTCCTCCCTCACTCTCCTCCTCTCTCTCCCTCCCTGCCTCACCCTCCTCCCTCCCTCCCTGACTCCACCTCCTCCTCCTTCCTCCCTGACTCCCTCCTCCCTCCCTCCCTCCTGACTCACTCTCCCTCCCTCCCTCCCTGCCTCACCTCCTCCCCTCCCTCTCCTCCCCTCCCTCCTTCCCTCCCTCACTCCCTCTCCTCCCTCCCCTCTCCCTGCCTCCTCTCCTCCCTCCCTCCCTGCCTCTCTCCCTCCCTCGCTCCCTCAGCCTCCCTCCCTCCTCCTCCCTCCTGGCTCACCCTCCTCCCTCCCTCCCTGCTCTACCTCCTCCCTCCCTCCCTGACTCACCCTCCTCCTCCTCCTCTCCCTCCTCCTCCCTGACTCCTCCTCCTCCTCCCTCCCTCCTCCTCCCTGCCTCCTCCCTCTCTCCTCCCTGCTCACCTCCTCCTCCTCCTCTCCTCCCTGCCTCCTGCCTCCTCCTCCTCCCTCCTCCTCCTGACTCCCCTCCCTCCCTTCTCCCCTTCTCCCTCCTCCCTCCCCGCCTCACCCTCCTCCCCTCCCTCCTTTCCACCTCCTCCTCCCCTCCCTCTCTCCCTCCCGCCTCACCTCCTCCTCCCTCCTCCCTCCCTGACTCCACCCTCCCTCCCTCCCTGACTCCACCCTCCTCCCTCCTCTCCCCTGCCTCTACCTCTCTCCTCCTCTCCCCCTCCTCCCTCCCTCCCTGACTCCACCCTCCTCCTCCCTCCTCCTGCCTCCCACTCTCTCCTCCCTCTCCCTCGCCTCTACCTCCTCCTTCCTCCCTGCCTCACCCTCCTCCTCCCTCCCTGCTCCTCCTCCCTCCCTCCTGCCTCACCCTCCTCCTTCCTCCTGCTCACCTCCTCCCTCCTCCTGACTCCTCCTCCTTCCTCCCTGACTCACCCTCCTCCCTCCTCCCTGACTCACCCTCCTCCTTCCCTCCCTGACTCACCCTCCTCCCTCCCTCCCTGCTCACCCTCCCTCCTTCCCTCCCTGACTCACCCTCCTCCCTCCCTCCCTCCTGCCTCCCTCTCCTCCTCCTGCCTCTTCCTCCTTCCCTCCTCCTCTCCCTCCTCCTCCTCCTGCCTCACCCCTCCTCCCTCCTCCTGCCTCACCCTCCTCCTTCCCTCCTGCTCCCCTCCTCCCTCCCTCCCTCCTGACTCACCCTCCTCCTTCCTCCTGACTCACCCTCCTCCCCTCCCTCCCTGACTCACCCTCCTCCTTCCCTCTGACTCACCCCTCCTCCCCTCCCTCCCTCCCTGCCTCACTCTCCTCCCTCCTCCTGCCTCACCCTCCTCCTTCCCTCACTGCCTCACCCTCTCCTCCTCCTGCCTCACCCTCCTCCCTCCCTCCCTGCCTCACCCTCCTCCTTCCTCCTGCCTCACTCCTCCCTCCTCCCTGCCTCCCCCTCCTCCTTCCTCCTGCCTCACCCTCCTCCCTCCTCCTGCCTCACCCTCCTCCTCCTCCTGCCTCACCCTCCTCCTTCCTCCTGACTCACCCTCCTCCCCTCCCTCCTGCCTCACCCTCCTCCTTCCCTCCCTGCCTCACCCTCCTCCCCTCCCTCCTGCCTCACCCCTCTCCTTCCCTCCCTGACTCACCCTCCTCCCTCCCTCCCTGCCTCACCTCCTCCCTCCTTCCTGCCTCACTCTCCCTCTCCTCCTCACTACCTCTCCCAGCCCTAATCATCTAATGTATTCGACCGTCAAAAGATCGAACACGATTCTGATTAGCCATTAGTACGGAGTCACAGCTGGGGGGCAAAAATGTCAATCCTTGTCTCACTCTTCCCTCTCTCCTCTCCTGCTGCTGCTGCTGACGACGACCGGGTTCCTCCTGACGACGACCGGGTTCCTCCTGACGACGACCGAATTCTCCTGACGCCGACCGAATCCTCCTGACGACGACCGGGTTCCTGCAGGCTCCCCAATCAACCAGGTAACGTGGCTCAAGAACGGCGCTGTCCTACGTCCCGGGGCGAGGGTAAGGATGCCTGATGGACGTGGGCGTGTGTTGAAGATCGAAGGCGTGGGTAAGGGGCGCGTGTACCAGTGCCGGGCAGAGGGTCACCACGACTCAGCTCTTGGGACCTCTGTGTTGACGCTGGGAGGTGAGTGCTATCGTCTGTCCATGTATGTTTGTATGTATGTATGTATGTATGTATGTATGTATGTATTTATGTATGTACTACGCCTTTAAATCCATATTCGAAAAAAATAATATTTTTATTCCAATTAAGCAAGCCAACACATATGCAAATTACCAGCAAACAATCTATTTTAATCCTCCTACTAAACCATTGGATACAGAGAGAGAGAGAGAGAGAACCACACACACACACACACACACACACACATACCTAATTAAGTAAATACTACATACCAAACTATCCGTCACTTCTCATCCCCATAAAAATAATTGCATGACCCTCACGTAATAATTAGTAGGTCCAGATTTGAGTTGACTTTGGCAATTTGTTAATAATGAGGTTTGTTATGTAATGAATGACACACCCCCCCCAGAGCTCCAACCCTCGATATGAATGTTGCAAAGTTGGGATGTATAACCATCAATAAATGTGTGTGTGTGTGTGTGTGTGTGTGTGTGTGTGTGTATGAAGCCATTTGTAATCAAGAACTTCACTGAACTAATCAAGGCTTTCCATCTCTCTCACTCCTACCTCACATCTTCTACTACTACTACTACTACTACAACACTAACTACACAGTAGAAACGAATGATAGTCCTTAATGACTCAGATTTAAAGTGTATAAATTAAACCCCACCAAAAAAAAAAAAAATCCTGAATGGCCAATACATTACACTGGTGTTGTAAAATTTGGTCTATGTTAAAAGTTTGTTGGTGAGAGTTTAGTTCCGTCGTGTAAAAGTGGGTGGGTTAGTAGGTATTCGGTATATCCACTGACGGGAGGTAGAATGGGGAATGGGGAATGGGGAATGGGGAGGTTGTCAGGGGTGAGGAGGATGAAATGGGAGAATGGGGAGGGTTGTCAGGGTGAGGAGAAGCGGAATGGGGATGGGGAGATGTCGTGTGAGGGAGGTGGGGAATGGGGAGATGGTGAGGAGGGGGAGAATGTCAGGGGGGAGAGGGATGGAAGTGTCAGGGAGGCAGGAGGACCAGCTTCGTTTTTACACAGGACGGAGATAAAACAAAGTGTTGCTGTAATTAATAGGCTAATAGGTTTATGGGCAGGTAAACATATTAAAGGGTGGCGGTGGCAGAGTGGATAACCCGCACTCACCTCCAGTCCTACGGGTCGTTGGTTCGCTCCCGGGCAACCTCAGTCGACCCAACGGTGAATAGTACCAAATCTCACAACTGGAATATAAAGTTTTACCTGAGATTAATTGGGTAAAAGGTAATAGGGAATAGGTAGTATGATAATAGAGGATTGGTAATAGGTAAAGTCTATAGGATGGAGGAAAGGATGGAGGGAGAGAAGGAAGGAAGGAAGATAGAGACAAGAGTGGAAGAAAGAAAGATGCGTAAAAAAATATATATATATATATATTTAATACATTTAACATCGTGTAAAAGTAAAGTGAATTAATGTTAAAAGTGGGTATATGTCCCGTATGAGATTGAGGGGTGAGATGAGATTGAGAGATGAGAGGTGAGCAGTTTATGGTGTGGGTACAAGTTAGTATTTGGCGTAAAATTGTGTGAATGTTTGTTTGACTGTACGTTGGGATCCAGGTGGCACCCCTCTCCCCATCTCTGTTTGTGTGTGTGTGTGTGTGTGTGTGTGTGTGTGTAAGCAAAGCACACAATTAACATCAAAGACTTTATTTAACTTTAAGTACCAGGTGAGAGCCAGGTCAAACACTTTACTATACTTACAACAATGGAATAGAACAACTTAGGAAATACTTATAAAAACAAAATAAAAAGAATAAGTGTTTTTGAGTTTGAGACACTTTTTGCCATTGAACTGGTCTTCCTTCCTTCCTTCCTTCTTCCTTCCTTCCTTCCTTCCTTCCTCTCACCTTTCTTTCCTCTCACCTTTCTTTCCCCTTCCCTCCTCTATCTCCCACCTACCTCTCTTTCACCTGCCTCCTTCCCTTCCCCTCACCTTCTTCCCCCCTCTGTTTCCTCCCTCCTCCTCCCTCCTTCTCTTACCTCCTTCCCCCCTTCCTCCTGATCTGTCCCCCCCCACCGTTGATGACCCTATGTATCTTGCTCTAACTTCTCAGGTAACTGCTGCCGAGGGCGTTTAAAAGTCACGTTACATTTTCACAACCTTTATGGATCAACAGACGGAGATTCAGTCGCCTGTTTGTTTGTTTGTTTTTTTCGTCCACCATTGTCGTTGTCGTACTAGTGGTTATGTCTGTTTTTATGTGATGGGGGTTATACTGATATAAGCTTGTGTAATGGTGTGTGTGTGTGTGTGTGTGTGTGTGTTATTGATTATGAAGTTATATAGTGTTTTAAAGGGACACACTCACACGCGCGCGCGCTCTTAAGTATACGTAAAATGCTCATCAATTGTAAAAAAAAATACAAAACGAGAGAGAGAGAGAGAGAGAGAGAGAGACTAATGTTCCTAATTCAGTCAACATCAGCACCAGGAAACAGACCACAAGACTCACTTCCTCAGTGTGGCAGAAGATGAAGCCTTACCTGTTCCTTCATCACATTACCTAGGATGGGTGAGGTGTTAAAGAGCCGTCAGCAACACACAACGTTATCAGCAGCGTCAGGAGCAAGTAGTGAGAAGTATTAAGTAGTGAGGAGTATTAAATAAAGTGGTAAAGACACGTAGGTTAAAATTATCTGCTTGTGTGAAGGATGTTTAGTAAATGATAATGATGAGCTTACTACTACTACTACTACTACTACTACTACCACAACCACCACACACCACCACCACAGTCGGTCCCAGCCAGCCTCAGGTGTCCAGAGAATGCCCAGGTAATGATCAAACTCAATACACCTCAACTTGGTTGGCTCCTGCGTCAGAGTCTCAGGGGGGGTGCCTAGGGGGAGAGAGAGAGGAGGGTGAGGGAGGAGACAGGAGGAAAGTGCCAAGGGAGAGGGAGGGAGAGAGTAAAACAGGGAGGAGAGTGCAAGGAGGAGGTAGAGAGAGAATGAGAAGGAGGAGGAGGAGATAAGTGAAGGTAGTGAACGAGGAGGAACAAGGAACAAGAGACAAGAGGGAATACGAAAGTATGACGATAATGGTAGGGAGGAGATGGAAGATAGGAGTAAGAGAGGAAATTATAAAGATATCCAATAAAGGGGAGAAGAAGAAGAAGAAGAAGAAGAAGAAGAAGAAGAAGAAGAAGAAGAAGAAAGAAGAAGTCGTCGGAGAGAAGCGATAGGAGGCAAAGGAGAAGACAGAGAAAAGAAGAGAAGAGAAGAGAGGTGGGAAAAGATAAACACAGAAGAATAGGAGGAGCTGAAGGAAGAAAAAAAGAATATAAGAAGAAGAAGAAAGCATGGGTGACTATGATAAATGTGTGGTTAAAGGGGCGAAGAGAGGAAATTAGAGAAAGATAGGAAGAAAGAAGCAGTGGCAGTGGATGATGATGATGGTGGAATAGACGAAGGTGAGGGAGATAAAAGGATGATGGACTGAGTGTGAGATAGTAGAGATAATGATGATAAAAGAGGAAGAGGAGGAAGGAGAAGAAGATAATCTGTGAATTACTACTTCCCATTGGTCAGTTTTCTGTTGTGTCTGATAGTGTGTGTGTGTGTGTGTGTGTGTGGGGTGTGTGGGGGGGAGTTAAGGTATGTAGGTTTGTGTACGTGTATGTATCTATATGTGTACAAGTTTGTGTACGTGTGTAATGCGTTGCCATGTGTTTAGAGAGCAGGCAGACGGTGGCGGGGGAACTAACATCAAAAGATCAGTGTGCACAGGTTTGTCACCCTTGATTGAGAACTTCAGAGGAGAGGGAGAGAGGAGGGGGAAGGAGGGAGGTGGAGATACGGAAAGGAGGAAGAGGAGGAGGTGGAGATACGGAAAGGAGGAAGAGGAGGAGGTGGAGATACGGAAAGGAGGAAGAGGAGGAGGTGGAGATACGGAAAGGAGGAAGAGGAGGAGGTGGAGGAAGTAAAATAAGAGAAAATGTGAAAATATGAGGAATGAGAGGGATACAGAAGGAGAGAGGAGGAAGAGGAAGTACAGAGGGCAAGATTGAGAAAGAGAAGAAAGGAGGAGATGGAGGTGAGCAAAAAATAGAATGAAAGACAGAGGTGAAAAGGGAAGAGGGTAGAGTAAAAATACGAAGAAGAAGGAAGGAAGGAGATGACGAACATGAAGAGAGGAGGACGAGGAGAAGAAACCTGATAACGATGGTGTGAGGCTTATCATCTTACCGAGGGGACATACATACATACATACATACATACATACATACATACATACATATAAAATAAAAGGCAAGGCAAAAAAAATTCTCGAGAGAATAACAGAGAGGCCAATACATACTGCCACCGCAAGGCACTACTAGATCCTGACATCTGATTGGTTCTCGTGTAAAGCAGTCGTGGTAACTGATTGGCTGACACTGAAACCCCATCTTGGTGTCTGATGGGCTGTCGCTTTAACAAGTTGGGTTTTTATCTGATAGGTTCGATCAGTAACACGGCCGTGGTATCTGATTGGCTCCATATAACACACTTCGGTTTCTGGTTTATGATTGGTCTCTCCTGGAACCTGGTCCTGGTGTATGATTGGCTACCTCTGGAATACGGTCGCAGTTTCTGATTGGCTCGCCTGGAGCGTGGGTGAGGGATCTGACTGGTTTTACTGTCTAGGTGGCTGACTGTCTCTCGTGGGATGTGTAGGATAGACTCTTCCTGTCTAAAGTCTGACTGTCTGTTTCTGTCTCTGGAATACAGTTAAAGGCACTCACTTCCTGGATAACTGTCAAGGCAATAGATTAACTGTCAGAAATGGATTAATGATTGGATCCCCCTCTCAACTACCAGTTTAACACTTCGACTGGTTTAACACACAGTCTTTTTTCCCTGATTGACTGTAAAGTAATAAAAGTAATAAAAGTATAAAAGTATAAAAGTATAGCCCTCCTGGAACGTGTGTCATGTTTCATAACTGGAATTCTGCAACACAAAGG